TTTCTTTAAACAGACATCGGAACCTATAACTGGATCCTGTCAAACAAACGACAGCAAAAAAATATAACAGCTGCTAAGAAGTCAAGTTGAGAGATAAAGTTTTCGAGGCTAAGGACCTTCTCAGAAGTAGACTAAAGGTCTTTCTTAAATCTTTAAGCAAGGTTATGGATCCCAGGGTGGCTTTTAGGCACCAAGTCAAATATGTAAGTTTGTATATCGTTCTTGTCATAGTATTTTGTGTTCCAGGAAAAAGAAAAAGAGGACAAACTTGTTGATTAGCATCTGCTGAGGCATTCTGCAAAGTAGCTTATATAGCTAGAATCATCAAATTTGGAAAACTTGGTATCATTTATTTTTAATTGTAATTAAAAATGATGCAATGATATACTGTCTCAACCATTTTTAAGTGTACAGTTCAGAAGTGTTAAGGATATTCACACTGTTGTGCAATAGATTTCTAGATATCATTTTAATGTTGTTAAATAGTTTTGGGGCAACTGAGAATCATGAAGGAAGAATGAGTTGTTAAACCATATTTAAAAGGATGAGAAATTAAGAAATGATTTTTTTAAAACCAGTCCTATTCCCTTACAAACAAAAATATATTAGATGCATAAAAAATACATTTAAGGTAATAATATGTGCATTCATTAAGTTAACTCTATTATTATGTAAAAGAAGTCTATTGCAATGGCCTTGTTGGGTAGAAAAAGGATTGGTTTGCCATTTAAGGGATGTCTTTTTGGGTATCTTACACCAAGTGACTCCTTATGTTGCATTGCCACAATGTGCTGAGAAAATAACCTGGGAAGTAGTCCAAAGTAAACTTCTCCTGGTCTTAAAAAGAGGCAAAAACCAGACAAATATGCATTTATTGTCTACTGTTTCTTATGTCATTTAAAATATTTTAAAGTAAAAATTGTATGCAGTTAAGGTATATGACACGATGATTTGATGATTCTTATAGTCAAGGTAATTAACATGTCATCTCTTCACATAGCTACCAACTTTTTGTGTGTGTGATGAGAGCACCCGAAGACTACTTTCTTAGCATATTTCCCGTATTTCATACAGTATTAACTCTAACCATCATGTCACCTGTACATTAGACATCTAGACTTATTCATCTTACATATCTGTAACTTTATGCCCTTTGGCCAACATCTCCCCATTTCCCTCGACTCTTGGTTATGTCATTTTTAAGTGAACTTCCTTACTTTTTAAAAAAAATTGTAGTAGTTATTCTTTTTAGTATCTGTTCTTTTCTTTCATAGTGCTTATCATGGTTTGTGCTCTGTGTGTGTGTGTGTGTGTGTGTGTGTTTGTTTAATGTATATCTTCTCTATATTTTCAGCTGGTGTTATAGAGAACGACACATAAAGGTACTAAATAGCTACTCTGTGCACAAATGCAACAAAAACTTAGTGGCTGTTACTTCATTCAACCAATATTTATTGAGTGCTTACACTGGGAATGGCTCTTTCTAAAAAAAAGACCTTCACAAAGAGTAGTCAATCTTACATGCTTAGATAAAATAGAACTAAAGATTAAGGTCTTAATACTAATAACACCAGTTTAGACTATATAATTTAGTTCACATCTCCTAGACCTTTGTCTCTAAGAGACACAGGGACCCTATACTTAAGTAAGCAATTTTCAAGGTCATCATAAACTACACAAAGTATTTAAAAAACAGTGAAAAATGGAGTTTTCACTGTTTATAGCTACCTACTACCTGTATGTCACAATATCTCCCTCTACATGCTTATTCCCCCAGACCTCAAAACAACAAACAAACAAACAAACAAACAAACAAAGGTACGATGATCTCATGCTTTTGGTCAGTTTCCCATATGTATTGAGCATTAACTGAACAACAATTCGATATTTTCGCAGAAATTGCTTTGGAATAAGAAACATAAATCAGCAACTTACATATCTCGTATACACGGTCTGCAAGTGTAAAGGCAAGGCAAGAGAAAATTTACTTGAAAGAGCTTTGAAGACCAACATGCTCCTTTACAGTTTGTCTTCCTAGGTTTGTGTCTATTTTTTAGGCTGAGCAGATAGTGTCAGAAACCACAAAAGTGACTTTAATCCAGTTATAACAGTTGGTGAGAAAGAATGCTCTGGTGATTTAGAGGAATGAAGAAAACCAAATAAAGATAAGGAATACTAAACAAGTTATTCGCTAAATCGGTTTACATTCGGCTCATTAATAGATTTTACTCTAGGCATGTCCAAGAGATGCAAAATTTAAAATGTAACCAATACCACCTTACATTAGTTGCATCTTGTGCCAAGCAGTGGGTAGAATTTCCCTGAGGAGACTGTAGGAGCATGAGCAGTTTGATTCTGCCACGTGCAAGAAACTAACTGAATGAATGAATGAATGGATGATTAGATGAATGAATGAATAAATTGTGAGATCTGCCTTCCTGATATTGTTTTGTTTGAAATCAAGCATGTAAGAAGCATTTTAAAAAACACAGCTACAGTTTATAGATGATTTCTTTTTAAGGCAGGAAATCTTAAGGATAAAAAAAAAGAGAGAGAAAGGAAACAAGTCTTTTTTTAATAACAGCCAATGTGCTGCTGTAGCGAGTATTGAGGCTAGTTCTCTAAGACTGTGAGAGCAAACACACAGATTTCATTAAATGTGCCTTTCCCATAACTGGTCTATAAGCATTTCCCATGACTCTTGCAGTTGAGTATCTTGGCTGGAAGAGGATCTGGCCATTAGAAAGAGAGCTCTAGATATGCTTGGTCCCAGCCGTGCCGAGAGACTTGGCACCTTTCTATGCTACTTCCTAATACCAATCCCAGCATAAAATGTCATCAGAAGCCTGCATAAACATTGGACTTAGATTCACATAAATTATTTCTGTCCTAAGGTGCTATATGCCAGAATTTAGTAAAAACAGCACTTTGAGTAAATAGAATTGGCATATAAATGTAAGAATATTAATCTAAAAAAAAGATCATAGAAAAATATAATCAAAAGTACACACTTGTAAATCTTGTAATGACATGAGAGATTCATCTTGTGCCTCTGAATTTTTATTGAACATTTCTGTAGAGTTCCTTTAAACTGACACTGCCAAAATGCTGTGAATTATCAGTTTCTGTATGGAACTATGGTCTTTAAGTTTCATTAAAATGCTTAGAACTTATTTTAATAATCATATGTGTTATTAGTTTCTGTTTAGTACTGGACTTACAAATTCATTCAAGATCAAACATTAGGACAATGAAATATAATGCCACATATGATTGCTCCTGTCAGCAAAAACATTATCTTATTTTTAAAAAAAATCTCCAACAAAATGCCATGAACAAAAGATGCAGTTTCTATTTATAGACAATTTCCACTTTATAATACTATGGTATCTGCATACCGCAAGGCTGTATCTAGCGGGATTTTCATCTTGCCTGGGGTATGTGCATGGATAGAGAGGTAAGAGCCCTTTTTCATATGTGCATACATCTTATCATGTACGGCTTCCCCCAAAGTCCTATTTGCATTTTTGCTCTAATATAACAGTGCTCGCATCGTCAGTACTGAGTATTTATAAGTGACTGAAGATTTCCTGAAAATGATAATTTAGCTATTGGCAATAATAACATTATAACATTTTCAGTGATCCACTTTGGCGTTAAGTACTTATTAAATAGTATTTATTCCTCAAATATGTACTTATAAAATTAAATAAAATTGCAACATGCAATAAAAACACATTTCTCTCTAAACTCCAATTGACTCCATTCCTCACAGATACCTCTCCTCACGTTCATTCTGCTTTTACTGTTTTCTATTTTCTCTCTCTCTGAACTCTCAGCTTTTCTCTCCGGTGTGTTGATATGCTTTTCCCTAAAGCCAGTCTCTTTATCCACT